GCTGAAGTCAGAAAGGGAAGGAGGGAAGGAAGGAAAGGAAGGAAGGAAGGAAGGACTGAAAGATGCTGAAGTCAGAAAGGACGGAGGGAAGGAAGGAAGGAAGGAAGGAAGGATTGAAAGATGCTGAAGTCAGAAAGGGAAGGAGGGAAGGAAGGAAAGGAAGGAAGGAAGGACTGAAAGATGCTGAAGTCAGAAAGGACGGAGGGAGGGAAGGAAGGAAGGAAGGAAGGAAGGATTGAAAGATGCTGAAGTCAGAAAGAGGGAGGAAGGGAAGGAAGGAAGAATGCTGAAGTCAGGGAGGGAGGGAAGGAAGGAAGGAAGGAAGGAAGGAAGGAAGGAAGGCCAACTGGTTGAATGAACCCTTTCAGCCTTCTAAAGCCTCTTCTGCCTTCAGGTTGAGGAAGGTCCCCCTAACCCAGAAGCAACAGTTTCACCTACCACATCATAGCTGAAAGTGCAGGCCGAAGCCCCCGAACCGAAGGCAACTTTGCACTGCTCCTCCGCCCCAAAATATAGGCCAGGCTTTGCTTCTGGCAGACTGCTCTTTAACACAGGCAAGTCATCTGTGCAGCTTGCTTGGCCTGTACTGGTAATAAACCAGAAGAAACCAAGGTGGCCGGGTTAGTTGGGAAGAATACAACAGACTGTCTCAAGAACACAGGTGGGGGTCCTTGGTGCTCCCTGAATCTGGTGGTTTCCCTGTAGACGTTTCATTGCCCAACTAGGCAACATCGTCAGTGCTAGAAGGGAGTGGGTTTGCAGAGAGGAGGAGGAGGAGGAGGAGGAGGAGGAGGATGGTGGCTTCTGAACTTGGTTGTTTTCTTGCAGATGTTTCACTAACTAACTAGGTAACTTCATCAACGCTAGTGAGTCTGACTGGCTCCCTTTTGATATCTTCTAATAACTCTGAGCACACATTTTTAAACCTAAGCAAAACATAACTGATGGAAAGATCTTGGATCTTCTCTCTGCATGGGATGAGGATCCAAGGAACAGAGAAAGCCCAGCCTTGACCCTTTTACCTGACGAATGCCTGGAGCTGCTCTCGGCTGCAGACCGACCAGGTCAGATCGAGGCTGTTGTGCCCCCCTTCGGAGCCCATAATGTGTCGGTCTCCCACGCAGCGGTTCCCTTCCCCATCGTGGTCAATCCCAAAGCTGTCATCCAAACAGAATCAAAGAAAGGGTCACAGTTGGTCTTGAAGGTGGCCAAGTGTCCTTCCTAGATCCGGAAGGGTCCTTCAGGTCCTTCTTGCCCACTCACCTGTGGGCGATCTCGTGAGCAACGGTGATGCCCAAGCCGAAGCCCGTGTCCTCAGTGATGATGCAGCTCCAAGACCTTGAACAGGCTCCTCCCTTTGAAGTGACGCCACGTACTTGCTTATTTCCATCCGGGAGCTCTAGATCAAATCTAGAGAAAGAAAGAAAGAAAGAAAGAAAGAAAGAAAGATAGATAGATAGATAGATAGATAGATAGATAGATAGATAGATAGATAGATAGATAGATAGATAGATAGATAGATAGATAGATAGATAGATAGATAGATAGATAGATAGATAGATAGATAGATGAAGGAAAGAAAAGATACTAAGCTAGGCTCAGATATCCACCAACTGGGCTAACCGTTCCTCAAAATTAACAGTAATTACTTGGTGACGTAAAGAACGAGATCTGCATGACGAGGGTCCAGGTCATTCTCTGGGTTGACCTTTAGGCTCCATTTGCAGACGCTCAGGACCGAGCTGGTGATGTTGGTCGTGATCTGGATGTCTTCCTGGGAAGAGAAGACAACACGGACCCCAATTAGACCCAAATTCAGGGGAACCCAATGAAGGCCGAGACTCGACAAATCCATATTACCGTAACGAACTCTTCTGTGTGCTTCGTTCAACCAGTATTAGCTCAATTAATCCAAGGTTTGCAATCTGCAGGACACACTGACCGTCAATTTCTCTCTCTCTCTTTCTCTCTTTTTTTTTTTTTTACCTCAGGCACTGTGAGGACAATCATTTTGATCAGATGAACTCTGAATTGAATACCCAACGAGGGATCGCGAAGAAGCTCTGCTCCCTATGTAAGTAGAAGATATATATATATATTCAGATGGTTTGTAGGGAGAAATTCAGAATCTGAGAGTAACACATTATTATTATTTGCAGAGAAAAATATATGCAGCTAGAGGGGAGGGAGGGAGGGAGGGAGGGAGGAAGGAAGGAAGGAATTAAAAAGAGGGAGGGAAGAAAGGAAGATGGGAATGAGAGATGAGCAGGAGGGAGGAAGGAAGGAATTAAAAAGAGGGAGGGAAAGAAGGAAGAAGATGGAAATGAGAGATGAAAGGGAGGGAGAAAAGAAGGAATTAAAAGAGGGAAGGAAGGAAGAAGATGGGAATGAGAGATGAGCAGGAGGGAGGGAGGAAGGAAGGAATTAAAAAGGGAAAGAAGGAAGAAGATGGGAATGAGAGATGAGAGGAAGGAAGGAAGGAAGGGAAGGAAGGAAGGAATTAAAAAGGGAAGGAAGGAAGAAGGTGGGAATGAGAAATGGATGGGAGGGAGGGAGGAAGGAAAGAAGGAAGGAATTTCCACATGTGTAGCCCCAAAAGAACTCACAATGTTGAGGTTGGTGAGGATGTACCTCTCAGTGTCTTCTTTGTGGAACTGGTGAACATCTGGCCCTACCACCACCAAGAGCTCCAGATGTTTCACCTTCTCCTCGACCACTCTGCGAATCCGGGACGAAACCTTTCCACCTGCAACGGCGCACAGAGAGGTTGGAGCGGCGAAACCACCACAAAAAATGGCAGCCCGACGTTTAAAGAAGTGGAGTATTATAGATACCTAACCTCTTGTTTTTTTTGTTTGAGTTTCCAAGAACCACTGAGTCACACGGACAGGTTTAAGGGGAAAAAATAAAAGGCCTGTCCCTTCACTTCTGGATTCTCTCTCATTTCCATGAAAGACCATCTTACTTGTCTGTGCTGATGCGGAATCGTTCTGCAGACTGCTGAAGACGATGTGGGGCCTGAGGAGATGGGGGTCCACCAAGTAGTGTTGGTGTTGCTTCTTCACCGCTCTGATGTAAACCTTCTTGCCACGCACACGGATAAAACCTTGCTGAGAGAAATAAGAGGCCCTCAGAGGGCTATTGGCCAGATAATTGCAAAGAATATAAATCCTTCCATTCCCCACCATCCAGTTTAGAACCGAAGAAACATCTTGAATGAGAAGTGAAATGTTTTCAAGGGGGAAAAAAAAAACCCAAGCAGAGTCCAGTTGTCTTTTGGAAAAGCACCTTTGGGACAACCGTGATCTGGATCAGGGGTCTTCAAACTTGGCCCTTTTACGACTGGTGGACTTCAACTCCCAGAATTCCTCAGCCAGGCGTGCCTGGCTGAGGAATTCTGGGAGTTGAAATCCACCAGTCGTAAAAGGGCCACGTTTGAAGACCCCTGATGTGGATGATTGAGAATATCCATAGACATATCCAACACACCTTCCTCCACCTATTTTCCCCACAGCAAGTGAGGTAGGTTGGGCTGAGAG